GCTTAGCTTGGCAAAACTACAAAAGTTGTATAATGGCCCCATAATACCCCAGATTCACTACTTCAACTACATCTTCTAAATTCATAATTCTACTTAATTTAAAACAAAGTGCATCACAGAAGATATTCTTTTTACTTTCGTATTCAATTCATAGTACAAGCTGTTTACAGCTAGCCACTGACATCTTCCCTCTTGCTTGCTACCTAATCTCACTGCCAAGATTGATGGGGCTCCCACTGTTTCATATCCGTGTGTTAAGTCAAAACTTATCCACCATGATGGATATGACCACCATCCTTCCAGTTGCCAAAGCCTGGATATGATCTTCAGTTCAGACCCGAGGTCTCCCATATAAGTTGTCCAGATCTTAAGAATTTTTTTCTAGGTAACATTTCTACAAAGTGGTTCTTTTTCTCCTCTTCACTGACACTCAAACTCTTTTCATTTTACACATTAGTGCACTCTCCTCTTGGGTTATAAAGTCATTTGACCCTGCTCATATCTAAGTGCTGCTGCAAACAGGTAAACAAATGACAAAGCCAAGTACTTGACTTTTACCAGGGCAAAGAATGCTTATGTGGACTTTCAAAAGAATACACATACATCCATGCTCTTTGGGAAACTGATGGGTCTGTTGGATTCTGAATTTGTAACACATTGGAGATATTACAGCATAGAGTCTAATTTTCCATTCTTAAAAGTTAGCCATTTAAGAGCAATTGCACATATCCTATTTGTCACCTACTGATAACAGGTCACCTACTCATAAGAAGATTTTGGTATCAGTGTATAGAATGTTTTTTAAATCCAAATAATTTGTCTCTATCACAGTGCTTAAATATGGTAATGTTCATGCTAAAGGTTGATAGCTCTGATGGAAAAGTTTAAGAGAGTGAAACAGTTAATTATATTGTGCTGTTCCAAAACCACTGTCCTATTAAGATCATTAATCAAATAGGACAAAAATCTAGTAAATATAATTCCAGGAATTATATGAATTATTCTAAACTGTTGTTCATATCATATCATATCCTCTGCCCAATTTGCACTTTTTGCAAATACAGTGCTTAAAACTGTAAACCTGAGTCACGGTCAGTGTTTACATTTTAGGTCTGTACAGCACATGGTCCATAGCTAAATCTCCCAGGCACCCCAGCAATAAAAAAAAAGTCATTAAAGTATCATGTGCACTAACAATAGCTCCATCAATACTTACGAAGGTGCTATGTCCAGATGGTTGATGCTGTAGCCAGATGTGCAAAACCCTCCTAGTGTGGTTGATATCGTCACGAATGCAACAGCCAGTGCATAGTTGCAGCCTATGAATCCAGCTGCTACTAGGAACACTGCAGGTCCAATCATTCCTTTAAGACAGAAATCTTAGAATCAATGGACTTGTAATACGAGGCACATTAAGAGGCTCTAAGCTGTGTATACATTTTCTCTACCACTTCCACCACCACCTAGTGTACAAAATCCAGCACTGCACTACCTGCATTACAGCGGGCCTGCAAGGAAGAGCAGATGGGTTGCAAACCTGTTGCTGCCTCAGGAACCAGAAGAATCCCACTCTAGCTGCAAAGAATAAACTCCAAGTAGAGGCTTTTGTTGATGAAGCCAACCTAACAGTCCTGGTTTCCCTAACACAACAGTGTGTTTCCCCCTCAGTCGTATATACTTGGGTGTGAGGCCCTGCAGTAAACTGGATCACCAAAATGGTATAGGCTTAAAAAAAAAAAGCTTCAAAGTTGATTATAAGAACTGCTTTAAAGAAAGCAACTGAATCAGTAGAATTGAGAAGGCAGTAAGGATGGGCATACATCAAGCAGGCTGCAACTTATGGGGATTCTGTACCTACTGTCTTTTTTACTTTTTTATCTTCTTTCCCTTGCCCCCTCTTTTAATCAGCAGTCAGCTTCTCCTTCCTAAATACAGGCTTTTACCTGTATCCATTAAAAACCTGATCTTGTTGATCTCTTGGTGATTTCAGATCATCTCTCCTGCCAATTAGTCAAGACAATTTTGGATTCTGTTTGTTCTTCCTACCCTGGTAACAACTGTAAATTTTGAAAGTGCATTGCTATCCAGTTACCTAAGTCTTAAATAAACAAAACACTATGCAGCACAGGGCACAGAATAGGCTCATGCAGAACAATACCCCATCTCAGTTTGAGAAAGCCATTCACAAGGTACCATTCTGTCAAGCAGTTATCACCACATTGATGGCAATTCTACATGACCATTTATTTAATCAGTTTGCTTCTAAGAATGATGTATCTCGACCTAAACAAAGCTTTTGTCAATCTCTCATCATTCTCTTATCCAATAGGCCTACCTTTTAATGGAAAAAGACAGGACTTACTCTTGACAAATTAATGTACAAATAAAGCTGCTCCTTTCAAACCATGCACAATCCTGCTAATCTCACAGCAGAATGTCACACTACTCTCCTAAACCGTTCATTTTTCCCAGACCGATACTATGATATGTTCCAAACAGAGATGATACTTGCACCTACCTATTAAGGTAAAACATTTGCGAACACAAACAGTGGACAAGTTCTGTTTCTCCCGTAAATAATCAGCAATTTGCCCAGACAGAATTATACATAACCAGCAGCCAAAATAAGGTAGGGCAGATAAAAACCCGTTCTGTTAAGGAGATTAAAAAAAAAAGACAGTTAAAACACTGAAATGACAACTCAATATGCTGAAAAATCACTTGTGCTGGAGCATTAACAGAGACTGAAACAGAGGTGTCAAAACCACCCAGCCACATGTTACCATAAGAGAGAAACCTAGCGACAGAAAAACAAAGCATTTTAAAATTACCAATATGTAAACTCTCCATTGCATGACTTAAGCCATAACTACCAATGCAGCTAGATGAAAAACTCAAAGGTTTAAATCAGCAGCTGGATTCAGGAAAAAGAAAACTATACATGAAGGCGTCTTGTGGACATCAACCTAGTCATTCAAGTTTCCAGAAACATCAAGTTCAAGTAGGACAGGCTATTGAGTGAGTTAAGTAAGCGGAAGCTCTATGGAATCTCAGGGTTTTGTACTACTGTAACTCTTCAGCATTACATTATCCTACATCTACCTACTGAAACATCTGATGCTGGCTGTAATCAAAGAAAAGATAACAGAACTAGGACTTTCATCAGATCCAGGCTGAACATCCTACGATCCCAAAGCAAAGCTATTATTCAGGACCTGATATTACTTACACTGGAGTCACCTGTTAACTCCCATTACTTCAAAGAAGAGCTGTTTAGAGACTTCTGCCTGATTCTGCATGTTTTTTCTGATGAGGCAGAAAAAAAGGTACTACTAAGCTGTGTAAGTTTACAGCCTTTCCATACAATTATGGATAATTACTGATAACAGAGCTATAACTTGACCTAATCTGTGATTAAAGAGAGGTATTTGGATAGCTATTGGATAGAAATACTCAAACATTTATATGCTATTATAAAATGTATATTTGGCAAAGAAGTGAAAGCTTCCCTAGGAAATTTAATTTTAAATGAGACCAGAAACACATCCCCACCTGAAATCCACTCTATCAGCACTCTAACATGCTGCCTGTTGGGTTTCAATGCTCAATTTTCAAAACCAGTAAGTAAAATTTTGAAATATAGAGGATAGTCTCAGTAATAAAAAAAAAAAGCCAACCAAACTTCTTTTGAAACACTGTTCAAAGACACAGCATTATTTTTAACTAATTGCTTTATTATACGATGGAAACTGGTGGAGTATACAGTAGCAACTGTATTATATTTTAAACAGTAATGCAATTTCCATCTAAATGTGCGGCAACAAAGTTAGTCCAACACTATTATGCAAGATTTTTATTTTTTTTTAATATTCATAACAGTCAGTACTCTAAGTCACTCTAAAAACAAGAAACACAACTCAGAGACATAGGAAACCACTTCACAGCACAACCTGTTAGCATTTAATGCAACAATGTTTTACAAAATACATGCAATTGAGGGCTGTTGTAGCAAATTACTTTCATAGATGTTTACGCAGATATTCCCTCAAGAGGCATAATGAGGAACCCAACCAACAACTTCTGCTAGTTTCTTCCAGTCATTTTGCAGCTTACCCTACTGCAACCTTCTCTTCTAAATCCAAGATCCCCATCTTTTCCTCCCGAGATCATTGGCATCACCTCTTTCTTTCATGGCATGCATCTTCAGTTTGCTGTAAACTGGTCTCATGTGTTAAACCAGGAAAAGACTATGCTACACTTCTTGAAACTTCTGAGCACCTTTTTACTTGAGCTGTACCAGCTTTTCCAGGTAACCTATGCTATCACTGAAACTGCCTCATTATAGAAAGACCAGTACAGTCACGTAATTGCTGTAAGTAAGAAAGTTCCACTCGCGCCCCGTAATTTCTCCCTGATAAATAATTTCATTTTTTAAAATTTCCTTGAAAAGCACTATTTCTGGACCTTAAATCTATGGGTTTGTTTCATCCTATTTACCTTACTAAAAAAAGGTATTTTACCTCTGCTGCTCACTGAGGAAAGAAAGTGACAATTTGGAAAGAGATCCAATCAGACTGAAGCCTCTTAAAATAATTTCAAAAATGCACTTGTCCAACAATTTCCTTAGTTTTTCTTCTTTAACTGGAAATCTTCTCCTTTATGAGTGAGAAAAGAAGTAGACAGTATTTCCAAGGCCATAAAACAAGCTATAAAATCTGAAGCAATCATACAAACCATGTAACAGATAAAAAATGTTTTTATAGTTATTGTTTTAAATCAGAGCAGTTAAAAATTGGTAACATGCATCTTCAATCAGAAAAATGCATTTGAAAGCCGTCATTAAACTAAATGTCAAAAGTCCTGAAAAAAGTGGAAATTACAAGGCAGATAGCATTTTTGATTAATCCGCTTAATTGTGGGGCTTTATTTTACCATTTCCCAGCTATACATTTACATTCCAAGGTTCTTAAACAGGTTCCTCTATTCCAAACAGCAGGGAAGGTCTCTGTTATTTCATTTCTGTAATTCAGAAGAAAGTGACTACATTTTTATTTATCTCACCTCCTGTGCATCAAACCGCAGAATCTCCTTCATGTATGTGGGCAAGAGCGTAAGAAGTGTATAGAAAGTCCAATTATAAGAGAAGTGTGCCACAACGATAGCCCAGAGCGGAAGGGATGCCAGTATAGGTCTCCAGGGAACAGATTTCTGTGTAGAAAGCTAGCAAGCAGGGGGTAGAGAAAAAGGGAAGAGCAATCAGGACATCAACATGAACGTTTACTAAATACCGTGGTTTGATCCTACCCAAATCTATGCTGATTATTCATTTTGAAGGGCACAAAATGAGTCTCAGTTGATAGATGCAAGTCATCAGCAATGACCGAATTACTGTGTTCCGTTCTCACTGAAGGTTTACTGATGTATGTTACTGCTCTGTCATTTACTATTACAAAGTAAACAGATGACTGTTGTGGTTTGTAATCAGAATTTCAAGTAGTACACCTTCCCTTGTTGAGATTTGTTGCATCCTGCTTTTACTATAAATAATTAAATATTTTAAGTCACCCCTCATGTGTTTGTTTAGCTGAGTCTTTCCTACTTAGCCCTAGATATTAACTTCGGCCTCCCAGCCAGCTTCACAGATTGTAAATACATATCCCCAGGCGCTAGAATAAACTCTTATGCACACTTTAGGAACTGGCTTGTTAGCATTTTCAAAATGTTTTCTCCGCAAACAGTAATCTCTTTCAGTTGTAAAATGCTGTATTGTGAAGTTTAAACTAGATCCAGATCTATATAATTTATTTAAAGAGAAGTGATAGACTCAAGCTTTTTATTTTAAAAGAACCTCAACAACGTCTATGACAAAAGGCATTATTAGAAATGCTTTGAGTACCAATTATTTCTCACTTATACAATTGCAGTGTATTTTTATTTTTTTGTTTGACAAATTCTGTCTCTATCTCAGATTAAGGACATTTTTTCTAGACATCTAGACAGAGCATGATGCTAATGACAGTATTTGTGGTTTATGTTTTTACTTAAGTATGACTGTATCAAAGCGCTGTACCTGATCTTTTAGAGAAGATAGTATATATTCTATTTCAGGACGTGAAATGCTCCTGTGAGTTTCTGGTGTATCACTAACCAACCACATCCAGAAGAAGAACCATAATACGCCAAGTGCACCTATTGTTGGGAAAAGATGTTTAAAGAGATAGAAATAAAAACATAAGCAATTATATTGAGTGAAAAACACTTTCTATTGAGTGAAAAACACTCTCAGATGATTTAGTTAGAAGTTTTTTTCCAAATACTCTAATATAATTTTAATGAACATTATTTTTCTGTCTACTTACAAACAGTAGTTCCCCGAAGTAGCTTAACAATGCACATTTAGAGGCAATAATAAAGATGACTAAAAAGGAAAGTGGTTGGGTTTTTTTGTTGTGTTTTTTTTTTTTTTTCCTCCTTCCTCTTGGAAGTGCCTGATGCAGCAAGAAAGTTGCATACACATACATTCGTATTTTTATCAGTCACGTAGAACAGCCACAAACAATATGGCTCACCCAGAGGAAATAAAAATTCACATTAAGTTTAATCACAAAAAATACTACATGCACATATACAGAATATCACTATGTACAGCTTAACTTATGCACCAATCCTCCTTTTCTTTAAGCCAAACCCCAGAACTATAATTTGAAAAAGGTAACTTTTCAATAGCCAATCCAAATCAAGTGTACTTTTATGTAACTATAACATTGTAACTTATTTCATTTTGTCCATTTTTTTGTTTTGAACCCTTTTTATTTATAAAAAATTGGAGGTGGTTTTGTTGAGGGAAGTGTAACTCGTCTTTGATTCTCCCTTCCCTGTGCAGAATACAAAACAGCTCAGACATATAAATAAACCTATAAAAAGCATCTGTTAGATCTATGACATGCTGTTAGAAAATATTTTCTGTGTTTGAGCTTCTTCTAGAACATAACTCACAGTAACATGCTATGCCTTGCATTTTGGGCATTCCTTCAGTGTTCCTGTGACTGCTGGAGATATTTTCTACGCAGTTTCCATTTAAAGCAGCAGCAATATTGTGGTGGTTTGACCCTGGCTGGATGCCAGGGGCCCACCAAAGCCACTCTATCACACCCCTCTAACCGGACAGAGGAGAGAAAAGTAAATCAAAAGGCTC